ATGCAACAACTTTCACTCCAGATCTCATGATATCCTATTTCAGGACTGGTTTTGTTGTCATTGATGAGTAGAGGAATGGTCTGAGGACTTTGTAGGAAAGGCACCAACAGGTGGTGAACATGCCTCAAGAAGTTAGAGGAGTGGGGAAGGAAGAGAATGGGTGTTGTATACATTGTCCCATGCCTTTATTTTATCACCAGAGGAACTGATCTCTTTACTGTACTTAGGCTTTGGACTTCCCATTTTAGAATGTCTGGGTAGGAGAAGATGAAAGAAAGGAAGTTGGGGGTGGGCTTGCTTCATGGGACTTACAGTGATTACTTAGGCAATAAAAAATTCCCCTACTGCAAGACAGGATCACACAAACATTTACCCAACAATCACATCAAGTGGGAATGAGATGACCTCTCACCTAAGTGACCTATGTTCTCCAAAGGTCAAGGTTTGCAGGCAGAAAAGGTTTGTTGGGTAAGAGGGTGGGAATGGAGTCCCTCTGGTTCTTTTTTGGAAACAATTTTGCTCTAGAATTTGAGGGTATAAATCCCACATTAATATGGCTCCTACTTTCTTTTCCCTTTTCCATTTCCGCATCTCTTTTTTTTTTCTCCTCCTGTTTCTATCCCTGGTAAGGTAAATCCTTAATCAATACACAGTGCAGGTGGGAGTCGTTCTTAATCTGGGGTTCATGGACCCTTCCCTCCATAAGGAGTCTGTGAAAGATTTCAGAGGATCTTTGAACTTGGATGGAAAAAAATTCGCCTTCATTTCGACAGAATTATTTTCCTTTTGCAATCTTGTATATTTTATTTTATGGACTTAAAAGCATTATTTTGAGGAGCCGGTGACAAGAAAAAGGTTAAGAACTGATTGTCTATACCTTCTGTCTTAGCTTGAACAGGCTCAAGGGGCCCAGACTTTGGCTATTTCTAGTCATAATAAATGTTTTCGAATGGAATTAAGTGCTTGTTTTGTTAATGGCATGGTTCTAGGTCCCTGAGAAAATTTAGGTTACAGGGGAGTTTTACTTTCATGGAGTTTACAGTCAGGTAAGGATGTGGCGAATACTAGGGTACTCTTAGTTTTGCAGTGGTCTCCTCTGGCTGGTATCGATTAAACTCCAGGAGCACTATTGACTGTCAGTCCTTACTCAACGGACACTTATTCTGTATTGCCCTGTAGAATGCTGGGTTTGGAGCTTGGAATCAGGAAGACTTGAGATCCAGTCCTGCCTGCCTCTAGCACAGACCAGCTGTGTGACTGGGCGAGCTACAGCCCCTCAGGTCATGCAAAGACAACGTTTTACTGCTTCGCCATCAACACAGGGGGTACATGCATTGAGTATTGCCAAGAGTGGTTCAGATCATACACTTTTCCCTCTCCCCTGCTCCCAACATACAGAGCAGGGATTGGCATACAAAAGAATTTAAGAATTCCAAAATACAATTTTATGGATTTCCTCCAATCTGTTGGTTATGGAGAGGCTAAAGAATAAAGCTCCTCCCTCTTATGTCAGTCATATTAAAACATATAGCGCATAAGGAGATGGCTTGGGGCAGCTAGGTGATGCAGTGGATAGAGAGCACTGGCCCTGGAGTCAGGAGGACCTGAGTTCAAATCTGGCCTCAAACACATGAAATTGACTTACTGTGTGACCCTGGGCAAGTCACTTAACCCCAATTGCTTCACTAAAAAGAAAAAAAAGGAGATGGCTTAGTGAATTGTTGCCTTTTTGCACTCAGGAGCAAAGGTCTGGTTTTTTTTAACTTTTGTTTTCTTCCCAGGGTCTTACATGCTATACCTGAAATATGCACAAAAAATGGCAAAAGAAGCAGTCACGTTTAAGTAAACTTCATTAGCCAGGCAGAATATTCCTTCTAAAGCGAAGTAAAATTGAGAAGCACTGGGGAAGTGAACAATCAAAGTGTCCCCAAACATCAGGGGATATATTATGATCGTGGGGTCATTGAATGCTAAAAGAGATATTAGTGACTATGTAATTTATTAATGTCTCATCAATTGGTTTAAAAATGTATCATTTCTTAAAATTCCAACCATAGCCTTAGGTGAAGACAGGTAAGGTAACGATTACTCCATGTACACAAAGAACCCCCAGCATGTATACACTGCCATGGCAGCTGCTGTGAATGAAATCACAGGAGCTCAGCTTTGGAGAAGACCTGAGAGGCAATCTAATCCAACCTGTAATGGAACAGGAATTCCCTCAGCAACATTCAACAAATAGCCATCCAGTTTCTACTTGAAACCTAATGAAGGGGAACTTATTTTCTCCTAGAGGACTCAGACGCATAGGAAGAGGAGGAGATGTGAAAAGGAGAAGGAAATTAAATACCAGTCCCTCCCCCCAGAAGAAAAAATACACCAAATTCCTATTCTCCCATGCTTCCTCAAGTTTTCATTTCACTTTGCCGTAATGCCTGGAAATTCTTCTAAATCAAGATTCTGGGTGGTCTAGTGGTGGACTTGGAGTCAGGAAGATGAATTTAATTCCCATCTTACCCCACACACTTACTAGTTGTGTGATCTGGGGCAGTTAACCTCCACCTGTTTCAGTTTCCTCATCCGCAAAATGGGATCATAATAGCACCTACCTTCCAGAGTTGTGAGATATATCGAGATTATATGTGTATATATGTAAATATATGTATATTTACATACTCATGTGTATATTAAAGTATATGCGTGTGTCTGTGTTCAATATCACTTTGTAAATCTTAAGGTACTAGATAAATATTAGCTATTATTAAAACTTGTGGTCATATGAAGCTTTTAGTAATTGACATAGTCTGTGTTAATAAAAATAATTCCTATTCTTAGGTAGCTAAATAGTACAGTGGATAGAATCTTGGATTTGGAGTTAAAAGGAGCTGACTTAGGGGCAGCTAGGTAGTACAGTGGATAGAGCACTGGCCCTGGAATCAGGAGGACCTGAGTTCAAATCCAGCCTCAGACACTTAATACTCGCTAGCTGTGTGACCCTGGACAAGTCACCTAACCCCAATTGCTTTTAAAAATATGGAATTGACTTCAAATCTTGCTTCAAATGCTTATTAGCTGTATGATGTGGGCAAGTCACTTAACCTCTGTCTGTAGAATGAGGAAAATAATAGCACCTACCACCCAGGGTAATATGAAGATAAAATGAAATAATATTTGTAAAGCATTTTGCAAACCTTAAAGCACTATAAATACTAGATGTTATTATGCAAAGTCATGTATTAATAACAGGGAAAGTGATAGGAGGTGGATGTGTGACTTCATCAACATAGGCAACTTCTAGATAAGGAAACTCTGTCCACTGATGCAGATCAGCAGCCTCCTTCAATGATGGGTCTTAGTAAGCTTTTAAGAGCAATGTGAGGTTAAGTAATTGGCCTAGAATGGTGCAGTTGGCAAGTGTCAGAGGCAGGATTAGCATCCGTGTCTTCATGGTAGTGTGGATCCAACAGTTCATTTCTGTTATTTCATCAATCTAGAGCTGAAAGAGAGACCTTAGAAGTCATTTAGTTTAGCTTCCTCTTTTATATATGAGGAAACTGTAGAGGTTAAATGATATTGGCCAAGATCGCGTAGGTCATAAAAGAGAGGCAGAATTTTAACCTGGGTCTGTTCAGTTCCAAAGCCATCACTCATTTGTGGGACTTCATCTTTGCTTGAATCTTCTAGCATTTTAATTGGTAAAAGTGCTTTTTCATTCCCTGATTCTGGCTCTTCATTTTCCCCCTGGATCTTTCAGTTTTTTAGTTGGTCACAGCCTTGTTTGTAGAATAGTACCTGGAGAGGTTTGGGAAAACTTATCTGACTTCAGATGGAGTCCTTTTTGGAATGTAGGGAATATTGCCAAGTGAGTGAAAGCCTCTCTCTCTCAACCCAAATGGAGATTTTGTCTTTTTTGTTAGATCAGTCCCAGCAAAATTTTCTTAAATGGCAGGGCAGAGTAGAATATCTGTATCAGGAATATTTAAGAATCTTTTTTTTTTTTTTGACTCCAGGGCCGGTGCTCTATCCACTGCCCCACCTAGCTGCCCCAATATTTAAGAATCTTAAAGGGAATTCCTTGAACTATGATGCTCACTTCTAGTTATAGATGAGATATTCAAACTTTCCATGACTTGGGCTACTCTAACAGTTAGTTGCCTTTTGTGACTTAATCATTCACATCAGTAAAGAGAAGTCGGTATTTTGGGAGTTTGGAGCTTTTAGGCCATAGGTCAAAGCTTGGTTAGGTGAAGACAGTATGTCATAATACTGGGTACCTGAGAGTGTAGAAGAACATAGAAAGGGAGGAAGGACAGTATCGAAGACAGATCTTACTGTAAGTAAGGTGAATCTTAGTGTGTATAAAGTGGATTTTTGTTATTCTTTCTTAGAGTTTTCTTCCCAGGGGCCATAGCCATAACAATCTCTGCTTCCCAGGTATTAGATAAGAGTTCTCATGATCATGATTGAAAACAATTTCTACTGCGCAGTCATGGTAGATACAGGGATGAAATAATGTAAAATTGTGAGGCTATATTGCTGGCAATATGCCTTCTTTGTCTGTTGCCCTATAAATCAAGTGGGCACTGGTCAGTGACTGGGGACCCCCCTTAGGGGTGAATGTGCAGGCTGAATGCTGTATGTGCCTTGATGGGCCCACATCAAGTCTTGGGAGGGAGAACCTGTGTGTTTGCCTCAACTGGCCCCCATTGGGGCCTGAGGGGATTTAGGGGAGTTCACAAGTTGTGCCCGTCTCCATCGACCACATCAAGATGGAGGGGTACTTGTACCCCCTTCAGGCCGGCCACTGCGAGAAGGGTTGTTAGGGCATGCCGTAGGAATTGTTGCTCCCATTATCAGCAAACTCCCTTTGAGAAGACTAGATTGGAATAAAGTAAGCTTATTTAACCCCTTATTATGACTCCATTCCTGTCTTCCTGTGTGATCGGATCAAAAGTGAACCTGCTACTTTTTTCCGGCGGTGAAGATCTCCCTGCACCAACATGACTCTCGTGAAAGACCTCCTGCATCCCTCTCCCGAGGAGGAGAAGCAGAAACACAAGAAGAAGCACCTGGTGCAACGTCCGAACTCATATTTCATGGACACAAAGTGCCTGGGGTGCTATAAAATCACCACTGTCTTCAGCCACGCACAAACAGTGGTTCTCTGTGTGGGATGCTCCACTGTGCTCTGTCAGTCTACTGGAGGAAAGGCAAGACTTACAGAAGGATGCTCCTTCAGACAGAAGCAGCACTAATGACTGAATCAAGATGTTTGAGAAACTGTAAAGAATAAAACAAGTGTGGTACAAAAAAAAGTGACCCTACTAGTGAAAGGTGCTAGAAGCCCTCCTGTGTCTCCTAGGAAATGGCATAGTTAGTATGTTTACTTGTCTAACAATTACCTTCTTCAGTACTCTGCCCTCTAGACCATTTCTGCACCTTGGAGAGATTTGGGGATGCCTTCTCTCTCACCTCTCTAATATATTACATGACTTCCTTGCTCCCAGAATTCAGTCTATTGTTTTAACATGCTTCAGATATATTATAAGTTGATTAGATTTTTGAGGATGAAGTTGGTAACTGAGTCACTCTTTATAACTTATTTATGTGGGAAAATACCCTCCAAGTATTAACCACCACCAATGCGGGGAGGACCTGGATCTACCCCTAAGTTGGGGACTCCTTGTATGACTCATCTTTCTCCTACTATAAGCAGCAACCACCTGGAAACTATTGAAAGACTCCGGCTTGATCCATCCTGCCTCCAAATGCTTTCGGTTTATCTTCAGTTGCTGCTCTCCCCAGGTATTATTTTTCCTGGGATCTAATGCCTTTCTTTTATCTCATTTCACAATCCTTGCACCATTCCCCCAAGACACCTTTCCCAACAACAGGATTCCATCTTCAGCCAAGCAGCAGATAGGGAGCTGGTGATTCTATTCCCAAGGGTCCCGCTTCCTTGTGGGAGCTGGTCTTTTCAGAGGGCAAAATGAGAAGCTTTAACCCCACTCTATGGCCCTGGAGAGGAGTTGAAAAGACTTCTTGTGTATTGGTTGTGGTGAAGCATTGAGGAGAGCATTTATCTCTCCCAGGGTGAAAAAAGAAAAGAAAAAGAAAGAGGTTCTTTTCCTACCAATTAAAAGCCAAATCCCACACTTCCTCCAACAGGAAGTCGGCTCTGTTTTCCCAGAGGGTTTGTAAAGCCTCCCAGGTGTGATGAGGACAGCTCTAATGAAGATGAGTCAGCATTTGATTTCTCAGCTGGGAAGCCATACCTCCTCACCTTGCCTCATTTTCTGCAAAAACAAAATGAGACCAAAAAAAAAAAACCCTTTATGAACTGATTTGGAAATTTGAGCCTTTTATTTGGGTTAGGGCACTCAGGCTGGGCACAAAACCCACCACGAAGTAACTGCCAATTTATTTGCCACCCTCTGAAGTGACTTTCTCTGCAGAAAGGACTATGGCAAACACAATGCTTGTGATGGCTGTTGTTTGCATGGTGTCTCCTGGTATCTCCATATTTATTAAGTGCCAGATACTGTGCTAAGGCTTCTGTGCAATTAGCTGTCAATTTCATCAGACAGTTTAGAAACACTTCCTACCAGAGTTAATGAATGATTGCTCAGGCAGGACGAAAGGAAATGCCATTTATTTGAATATTTTTATTACCTTTATTACATTCTGGAAATGATTCTCAGCTACAGAAGATGACCAAATACAGTAGACTAAGTCATAATGACTCTTTGGGCTGGGCTGGCTGCCTGACTTCTCTATGAGCATTCCCCAAAGCAGAGTCAGGAGTACGGACAAGATTTCATCCTGGATGGCTGTCCTCTACAGAGCTCAGTTCTATGGGAAGATTCCAGGGATAATCAAAGGATGAGCGTCTGAGTGAAGCAAGCCAGAGGGTCTCAGGGGTGTCCATACCCCAGGTGTGCTGCTATGAAACCAAAGAAACAGAGTTTCTTCATATTCCACTGCCATATCAGTCATACAGGTCAACAAAATGGAGGGGGAAGAACCATTCTGTGGTTAGACAATTCAGGACTTTAGTGACGTGGATGGAGGTAGCCCCACTTATTATAATGCAATTTATTCTTGGGAGGAAAATGGAAAAAAACTGCCTGTTAATTTATTGTAGTTATCATAAGGTCAGCATTAAAGATGATAACTATTAGAAATGAGATTACTGTATAACAAGAATTTACCAAATATATCAAGGTGTGTCTGCTCATGCTTTCCACCTTCTTCAAAACTTATCCCAGATCATAGAGTTATAGCACAGAAATTTGGGAGGTCATTAACTCTGGCTCCTTTGCTCTAGGTAAATTAACACCTTAACCAGACTAAGGTTTATGTGGTTCCATCCCGAGCAGCTCCAATTAGATATGTTTAGGGCAGAATCAATGTATAGGTTGAGACAATAATTAGCCACATGGTATGATTTTTTAAGGGAAGTAAAAGACTAGCCTCTGCTATGTACTACCTGTGTGACCTTTGGAGAATGACCTTACTTTTGGGTCCCGGGTTTCTTGTGTACAGGTGAGGGATTTAGATTAGATTACTGATCTACAGAATGGTCTTTAGGACCTAGAGTGAGGAAGACCTGAATTCAACTCTAACCTCAGATAATTACTAGCTGTGTGACCCTGAGTAAGTCAATTAACCTCTGTCTGTCTCAGTTTCCTCAACTACTGAATGGAGACAATAACAATATCTACCTTGTGTGGTTGTTGTGGCACATAATAGGTGCTATAGAAATGCTATTATTATTATTATTGTTATGAAAGGGGGAAGATAATACATATTTATGTCACCTACTATGTGCCAGGCCATTGTGCTAAGCACTTTACAAACACTGTCTCATTTGATCCTCACCACAACCATTCCCAGACTTGCCCAGAGTCACACAGCTAGTGTCTGAATCTGGATTTGAACTCAGGTCTTCTAACTCCAGCCTCAGCTCCTGCTCTATCTACTGGGTCACCTAGCTGCCTCTATCATTAGTCATTCATTCAATCTATCCATTCATTTATTAATCTGTTTATTATTTATTGGTTTATTTATGTGTATATGTATGTAAGTTTTCTCCAATTCACTTCTGTTCTGTTTCCTCATTAAATTAAGAGAGAAGGGGAGGGGTGGAAGCATTCAGGTATCATGAAGAACTCTGGGCTTAGAGTCCTGGTCCTGGTCATGTGGTCTTAGGAAAACGATATCATTTCTCTAAGCAAATTTTTTTTTTAATTTGTAAAATTATTATGGTGGGACTAAGTGACCTCCAAAGTCTCTTCCAAATCTGAAATTCTATGGTTCTAGGTGATCTAGCGTTGATTTTCCTACTTGGCAGTAATGCTGAGTGGGGGGTAGAGTGGGAAATGGTGTGGCCATGCTTCTTTTTACCTAGCCTCTGCCCTTCGTTGCCACCATGCATTCACCATGCTATTGGTCCTAAACATCAGAAGTATTACAGCTGGGAATTTCTTCTGACAATAATAATAATTAAATAGCTAGCATTTATGTAGTGATTTGAGATTTGCAAAGTCCTTATGTTAACTTTAATTTAATTTGGCTTTTTATGTGATTATCCCATCATGTTTTGTTAATTTGGATGATCTCTCCTTCTTCTATACTTTTCTTTATGTTCCTATATCTGGTTCAGAGAGTAGAATGGAGAGTTTGAAGTCTTCAGTGCCCACATTAATTCTTGTGTTCTCTCTTTCTGTCTCTGCCTTTCTTTTTTTCAGAGGTGTCATGAAAGTTGACATAAATCTTCAGAAGGTAGACATTGACCAGTGTTCAAGTGATGGCTGGTTTTCAGGAACTCACAAATGCCATCTGAACAATTCAGAGGTAAGATCTTGCATGAAATAGTTCTATTGAAAGAACAATGAAATGTTTTCCCTTGAATGCAATGTGTTAGTTAAGTACCATACCCAAAAGATCTTCCGATGTCATTTTCTATTCTGCATTGGGCGGATGGAGATAACATTATGCAATGAAGCTGATGCTAACTTAGAGTGTATAAAAGGAAACAGTTTCTCAAGGGACCAAGAGAAGGCTGCAATGAAAATTGCTTATGAAGTTGAGTTTGAGTCAAAGGCTAAGTATATTCCTTAACAAAGATTGCAAGTTTAAAATAAACCGCAAGTGAGAAACCAGCCCATAAGATGGGTCAGGGAGGCTGTGCACAGCTTTTTGTGACACTCTGGTTGTTGAGACAGTACTAGTATTCATTTAGACACATTGCCATCTGTTACAAAGCAGTGGAGAAAGCATGATGGGACATTTTGGTGAGTTTGCAGAAAATAACCAATGCGAACCTGGAGGGGAGAATGGTTATCATTTTTGTTGCTAATATTTAGGTTCTCAGTGATCTAGGAAGGGGTAGGGCTTGGATTATTGGCAAAGTAAAGTAAGCCATTATAACATGTTCTTGAAGATGAGAATGTCCTTTGTTTTTTGCGGATTACAAATGATAACATTGTAATGATTTCATTTTTGGTAATCAGACCTATCCTTAGAGACTGAGTATCATGGATAATATGTTAAATAATGATTCTGTATGAAAGAAATGCTGGAGATGATGTGGAAGTGGAAGTGGGGGTGGGAACAGAGTTCAACCTGACTTCCAAAGTCTTTACAGAAATGAAATCTAATTCTTTATAGAATACAAAAGGTAGACCAAGTGTTTGTAAGCAAAACATATTTTTGACTGTGAAAGGTTTGGTTTATTTTAGTCTTTTAGGGTAAGTGTAGCTGTGCATTATGTATTCTAGTCTCTAGAAATTTGCCTTCAGAGATTTTGCAATACCTTTTACCTTACATTATTACACATTATAAATTTGCATAAGACTGATGGGAACTTTCTGAAACCACATGCTCCAGTGAAAATAATTCTAAGATTCAGTCAGAAGACCTGGGTTGGAATACAGATTCTCTCTATCTGTATCACCTTGGGCAAGTCACTTATCTGAGATTTAGTCACTAAAAAGTCATGTCACATCTTTGACCCTAATTGCCTTATCTGTAAAATGGGAATAATAATTTCTGTACTACCACCCACATCAGGATGTAGAAAAGATCAAAGGAAACATGTTAGAAGAGCTTTGTAAACCTTATACACACCATACAAACTGCTGCTATTGTTATTTTGTTCCATTTTACATACTGTTTCTTTTTGCCTGTCCAAAAAATTCCTTAAAATAACTTCATTGATGATCTTTAGGTCACACATTCCTGGTTAAGTGAAATCTGTATTATTCGCCCAACTCATTGACATGTTATCAGACCTGGGTGGGTAGGCATTGGCTGTGTGTATATGTATGTGTGTGTGTGTGTTTTTAAAATCACTCTCTTACTTATGGATCTCCTTTATTGAACTATTTGCTCTTGGGCTTTTAAATAATCTTTTCTTTTTGTTGAGATCCTTTTTTCTGAAGTAAAGTTCTGTTATTTCCAGTGGGGAATCTTGGCTTTTTTCCCTTGACTGGTAAACCTAGGCAGGTTTAATTCCTTGATCAATTTTTAATACTCTGCCCCTTCATGGGAATGATTTCTGAGGATGATATACCATTACTGAGAAGCACTCCCCAGGAGTGAGAATGGATTTATGCTGAAGCAGCAGTACAATCTAGGGAATGGAATGGAAAATCATCTAAGTGCTTACTCTAAGTCCAATCTTACATTAAGTGCTGGGGGGATACAGAGATTATAGTAGAAAGCTCACTGAAATCCAAATCAGCAACCCGTGTTCAAATCCCATCTTTGTCCCATGGGATAGGATTGGGACTGGACCCATGATCTCACTGGCATGGAGAAGTCCTGATGAGGACAAGTCTTCTGCTAATACAAATAAGCACCTTCTCTCTCTCTCTCTCTCTCTCTCTCTCTCTCTCTCTCTTCTCTCTCTCTCTCTCTCTTCTCTCTCTCCTCTCTCTCTCCCTCCTTCTCCCCCCCCCCCGCCCCAGGCAACGAATGGGGTTAAGTGACTCACCCAGAGTCATATATCTAGTAAGGGTCAGGTGTCTGAGGCTGGATTTGAACTGTGGTCCTCCTGACTCCAAGGCGGGTGCTCTATCCACTGTGTCATCTAGCTACCCCATAAGCACCTTCTCAATGCAAATCCAGCAGTTTTGGGAAGAGTAATCCTTCCCAAACAAAGAGCGATGCTTCCAGTCCAAGCTGTCACAGCTAACAATGAGGAGAGCAATCACTTTGGTGAATGGGTAGACTTTTCTCTGAGCCATCAACACCAACTGCTAATCAACCACCACCTGCAGGCAGTTCAACTCACTGTCTTTCCCACCCCCATTATAAACCATTGGTTCTACTTCCAGTCCAGCCCTGGAAATAATTTTTATTTTTTGGAAAGCAACCTCTTTGGAGATGCAACTTAGCAATTGATCCTTACCTCCTCAGAAACTTCAGCTACTAAAAATCCAGAAAAGACAATTGTCACCTGCAAGTCCTTGGTAGTCAAATAGTTTGACATCAGGATTGGATATGATTTTAACAGTGAAAGAGATATTAAAGAAGATGCATTACCATAAGATTTGCCATTATACCCTAAGAACCATGGGATCTTCATATCTGACTTTCAGTTAAAACCTCCCTATGGGTTATCTCCCTCTATTAGAAAGGGTGCCCCTTGAGATCAGAGGCTCTCTCCATTTTTCTACTTGTATTCCACACAGTTCTGTACATAGTAAGCACTTAATACATGCTGTTTTATGACTCCATTTTCTGTAGCATATACCCTTAGAAAGTCACCTGGGGCACTAAGAAATTAAGTAATTTGCCCAATGTCATGTCACCAATATGTCAGAAGTAGGAATGGAATCCAGGTCTTCCTGACTTGAAAGCCAGTTTTTTTCTTTCTTTCTTTTTTTTTTTTTTAGGGAATTGGGGTTAAGTGACTTGTCCAGGGTCACACAGCTAGTAAGTGTTACATATCTGAGGCCGTATTCGAACTGAAGTCCTCCTGAATCTAGGGCCAATGCTCTATCCACTGCACCACCTAGCTGCCCCTTTGAAAGCCAGTTTTGCCACCCATTATTCAATGTTGCCTCTCCTGGATCTAAGTCAGCATTGAAATTATGACAGTGAAACAATATAAGTGTCGTTAAGGGAAGGAGTTCTGGATCTGGAATTAGAGATTATGGGTTTAACTCCCAGCTCTGTTACTTATTGGCTGTATAATTATGAGTTTCTGTTTCCTCATCTGTAACATGAAGTGATTGGGCCAGATGACATTTGATGTTCCTTCCAATTCTAAACCCGCGATTCAATAATCTGATGAACTGGGCCTCATTAATACTCATTCTGTAACCATCTCAGTCAGCTGGACGCTGCCTCACTTGTAACCAGTTAAGAAGCTGACCATCACAAATTAAACCTACACTGAAGAAGATAGGAACAGTCAGCCAGGGGTCTGAAGATTTTAATCAGTCCAGGCTAGCTTATGATGTATTACTTGAAGGTCTAAGATTGACAAATATGAATTTAATCTTACCTCACATTTCAGTATATGTATATACACACATGTATATAAACATATATATATACAACTTATATATACACTTCTGCATGTTTGCATGTATGTATACATATACATGGTATGTATACTATATATAATGGTAATCTAAATGTAGGGTAAGATTAAATTCAGATCTGTTGATTTATATAATAAAATATATACATGTGTATATATATATACACACACACACACACACACACACACATATATACATAGTGTGTATATATCTGTGTATGTATAGGCTTATACACACACACACTGCTATGCAAAGTTCCTCTGGTACCTCCTTGTTTAGAAGTACTCCAAACTCTAAACTTTACTAATTTCTAGTCTATTTTAAAAATATTTTATTTTTATTCTGAACTTCAAAATACCAAATAGATTGTTATTTGCTTATGCATTGTAGAACAGAAAAAGAAGATTATACATAAAACTGTAGATTTCTTATATAGAGCTCACTTTTCTTTTAAAGCATATAATAAATTCAACCTGTAGCTTTCAAAAGTGTCCTACTTGTCTGGCCTTCTTTCTGGCTCTGCCTTCCCAAGTCCTATAAGATCTGACTTCCTCTTATTTCCTTTTCCCTCATTCTATTAATTTTTTGGAAAATTCTTAGCTTTTACTTTCCTTGTTATGAGTGGTATTTTTACTGGTCTTGAATTCCTGTTCTCATCAGTGCTTTTGCCCTGATGACTGCCCTATGTTAGCTGAGCTTTGCCCATTGACCTAAGTAGTTTTTTCTGCACGGGTGTCATATTATGGCTATCGATCTGTGTATGTTACTTCTTTGGAGCTTTGTTCCTAGGTTCCATGGGGCTGTTCGGTAGGAAACTGTCTGGAAACAAGGGGATATGTACGTTTCTGACTGCTAAATCATCCTCTACCTGACTCCAGAAAGCCTAGGCTACTTCTCTTCCAGCCTTTCTGTTTACTTAATCAAATATTCATGGTGGGGGATTGTTTAAATTCTTCTACAGGATCAATTTGATTGCACCCCAGACTAAGGAATGTTAACTTTTCAAGCTTTGTGTCTTTAAAGCTTTTAAATGAATTACATTATTTTAGGAAAAAAAATAAGACTCTCTGCTTTGATTAACAGAGATTAGGTTGCTATGGTAATGTATGGTTTCTCTTTCCAGTGTTTAAGACTGTATGGGGTTAAAAGCCACTCTTTTAAATATCAGAGGAGGTTAAGAATTTCAAAGTCGCACAGAGGTGACCTTCTCAGGTTTTCAGGTGTATTTATTCTTTTTCAGTGAGATGGTAGAAGTAGAAAAAATGAGTATAAGAGATTGTGGCAGGAGACCTGGGAGTA